CTGGGCCCAAGAAACCAGGTCAATGGGACAGAATGTTCAAGGGCTCAAGACCTTGCTTCCTTCAGCTGCTGGCAAAAGCTTTCCCTTCCCTCCCCTCTTCTTGACCTTAAAGACAGCTTCCCCTAAATGAAGATGGGGAAATCTGTTCCCTGAGGAACCATACTAACACCACCCTTCCCAGGCTTCCTCCCAAAAGTCAGCTAACACATAGCTTGAGAGAAATTATTAAGTCCTAGATCTCCTCTGAAAGGCTTTGCTCTGGCCTATACTCACAGGTGTCTAATCAAGAGACTGAAATTAGAATGTACTCTTCCTTGCAGAAAGTTTCTGCTGGGATGCTAGATTGCTTGATCCAGCAGAGGTCCAGGCAGGACAAGGCAAGGGGATTAGAGGCAGGGGAGAGATAGGACAGGAGTCATGAAAACTCAGTTTCATATATGTGTCCCAGGATCCCTGTGGCCAGACTGACTTTCTTAGTACGTGAGAAGGGACTGCTATAGACAAAAGAAAAGGGAAAGAATGTTTCCCCTTCCACCTCAAATCAGAAGATATTCTCTCTAGAGCAGAGAAGCCAGGGTTGGAAATCCAAGATTGGAGTCTAAACTCCCACACAGAAGCTACATAAGAAGAGTTGCCTTGATGCTGTTTCTCTCTCAAGAATCTTGAGAAGATGCATAGAGTCCAAGAGGCCTGGAGATGGCAGGAAAGGCCCAATTCATTCTCTGTCAGGGGTGGGGAGAGGAACAGATAAGAATCTGAATAAAAGAAGGGAATGACAAGATGGATCATTCCCAAACTACGGAGACTTAAGAGGCACTCACTCCCCAACCCCTAGACCCCTAAAGCTAGATTCCACCATCCCCACATTCCTGGCTCCCATTATCAGAAGGAATCTGTTGCCCATCTCTTGGCCCCTGCCCTAGCTGGGAACCTAGAGGTCCAGCAAAAATAAAGGGCCTTCAGAGTGGTCTCCTTGTAGGTGTGAAATAGTCCTATAAACTTTTCCTTATCTCCCTAAGAAGCAGCAGACCCCATTCTATGAGTGAGAAGGATCAGAATCCTGCTCAGGGTGGACACAAACCCCCTTCCTGGGCTCAGCCAGGGCAACCATTCTTGGTCTGAAACCACTCTTCTCTTCTGCTCTGGGACCTTTGCCTCAGTTGCTGGACGTGGCCTGCTCACTCCCCAACCTCCCTGACTCAGCAGAACAATGCAGAAACATACCCAGAGTGCCAGCCATTATATAGGTGACTTGCAGTTCTCTGTATACACTCTCCCTTTGTGGCCCTCCCATATCACAACTAAAAGGATGACTTTTCCTGAGATTCAGCTCCGCTTGCTAGATATCTATCCTGTGGATGTTCAAGTATCACATCAAATTCAACGTGTCTAAAACTGAATTGATCATCTTTTCCTTACAATCAGCTCCCCCTGCTTTCCCTTGCCCCACCCCTGGACTTGTTTATTTCTGTCATTCTCCCAGGCTGAACATCCTGGAGCCATCTCGACTTTTCCCTCTTGCTCACCATCCTGACAGTCACCTAACTTTGACAATTCTTTTGCAATGTCTACAGCCACTATTTCTGTCTAGAACTACTTAGATTCTTAAGGTAACCTCCCAAATGATCTCCCCATCCCCTCAGTCTCTCCCAATTCTAATCCATCCTATACACTCCTGACATTAATCTTCCTAAAAATATCATTTTGTATATATCTATAAGGAGGGGAGGAGGGAGACTGACCAGAGATGGCCCAGTTCTGGAAGTATGTGCGTGAGGTGAATGCTTCTGGAAGTTCATGATCACGTGGAATGGAGGGACCCGGCTTTCCACTTCAGTTGCAAGTATTTTCTGTTTCCAGTCCCTTGCTATGTGACATTTGGTTGGCTGTTGAACAAGCACTGGGTGTACATAAAAAAGGCCAAATCATTCTCTGCCCCTGGCTGTGGTGCAGCCAGGAAGACAAAATGTTATAAGCCTCTGGGTGGGGAAAGAGGCCTTAGGCCTTTATCTCCCCATCTGGCTACTGCCACGTGGCCTGTGAATTTGCCATTGCTTTTGTCCCTGTCCTGCATATTCTTTCCTCCTCTTTAGTGAAGGAGTTTCAGAGATGGAACAGACTTAGACTAAGACCTTGTGAGTTTTGAAAGGTCAGTAGAGCCACTAGGGGTCCAGGCATTGGAGGACATCCCAGAGTTTGCCAGTAGCGGGGCGTGATGTTCCTGAACAACTCTGAGGAGAGACCTGCTTGGCCCAGCCCAGGGTGGAATCAGTGAAGGGATGTCGTGTTCTGCAAGCAAGTGACTACACCCATTGACTAAGCCATGTGGAGAAGCGAACTTAGTAGGACGAATGCTTTGTAGCATTTAAGTTTGGGCCTACTCCCTCATGGAACCAAGGGTGGTAGAGGGAAGAGTATGCCTGATGATTCAGGGGGTGCTTTTGCATTTTGCTTCCTGCTACTATCTTTTCAGTAAATATCACTTTGTAAAAGCTAATTTATAGGAATTGGTTAATTAATATTGAAGAGGAAGCAAGTGGTCACATTGATAGTAAGGCATCATCAATCAATGATATTGATGATATTGAGGAGGTATTAACTGGCCCTGTCAATTTATATTGGAGAGACTGCACTGAACTGGGGGATCAAGCCAAGAACACTAGAAAGATACCCCCAACTATTCACAAGAACCCCCCAGAAAAATGAGGAAGTGTAGCTAGCTGTTCTTTGGGCATCCTACTTACCACAACTGGGAATAAGATAAGGACCCCCAATATTCATGTGGCTATATGTCATCCCCTATTCAAAAATCAGGATAAAGTCCAACTCTTCAATTTATCCAAAACCCAGCTCAGATCTTAATGACTCCATGAAACCGCTCTTCATCACTCTAACCCTCAGTAATCACTCCCTGCCTACTCTAAATACTTACAGACTTATTTGCGTGCCAAATCATTCAGCAACTAATGTGTTATACTCTACATTGTTCTTTATCTTTCTATATGTCTATGTCCTGTTTCATGATTTCATGCCACTCATTAATGCAAAGGGAGATCTTTTAGCACCAATATTCTCCCAATGATATTGCATGACTGTAAGTAATAAAGTCCCATAACATAAAAAGAATCATAATCATAAATGACTTGGAGGACAATGAAAAGATGTGTAGTGGGTATAAGCCAGCTGTATCATATTATCACTGATAACTCATACAGCAACAATGGCATAGAAGACATCACTAAAGATATGGAAGACCAAAAGAAGTGAGGGCATGGGGGAGGGGAGGTTGGTTAACAGAGACAGAATGAGGAGTGGACAGCCTGGGAATTGGACTGACAACCCTCAGAAAGACCTGTAGAGCCTGGGAGAAATGCTCTATAGAGAATTTATCACACAGAATGGGAGAGTGGTCATGCATGGAGCTTGATTTGCAACAAGTATTCCTGAGAGAATTATAAATCCATTGTAATACATATGTAGATGTTCAAATGTGTACATATGTATACATGCATGTATATGTGTGCTTTGGAAGCTGAGTTGAAACGTTTGCCACCTCTCTTATCCCAATCATCTTCCTATCACTCCTCCCATCATTTAGCTAAAACAACACACAGGCCACTGGAAACCAGCACCCTCAAATTTCCATAAATATCTGATACATCTCTAGAAGAGATTGGAAATATGGTCCTTACTCAGTTAGCCGTTAGATAGGTTCCCTTTTTTTCAGTGCTTTGTCTGATTTCCTATAGCCTGATCTCATGTTCTTTCATGTGGCTCTCAGAAGAATATCGTCTACCATAAGTCTTCCTCCTCTCTCCACTGGGAATGTCAGAGGCTGAGAGGGAGATTAAGCCTCTGCTACCCTCTCCAAAAATAGCTAGGTCTTTTGCAGGCCTAACAAGTCAGGCCCTACAAGCCAGGAGATCTTTGAAACTGTAAAGAGGACAAGTATAAGGACTATATCTAGGAAATGTATGACCACTAATAGTTAGCACTTATATGACTTTAAGGTTTGTAAACAAAGAATTTTGTGAGGTAATACTATTATAATTTCCATTTTGTAGATGAGAAAACTGAGGCTGAGAGAGAAGTTAAGTAATTTGTCCAGGGTCACACAGCTAGTAAGTATCTGAGGCAGTATTTGAACTCCAGTCTGGACTCCAAGTTCAGCATTGTACCCACCATACCACCTAGTGGCCTCTAGAAAAGGAATTAGTTCAATCACGTAGAAAATGATGGTTGTTTTTGTTTTTGTTTTTTTAAGTCCTGTCCAATTCTTTGTGACCCCATTTTGAGGTTTTCTTAACAAAACTACTAGAGTGGTTTGCCATTTCCTTCTCCAGCTCATTTTGCAGATAAGAGGCAAACTGGGAAAAGTGACTTGCCTAGGGTCACATAAGCTAATAAGTGTCTGAAGCTGGATTTGAACTCAAGAAGATGAGTTTTCCTGACTCCAGGCCTGGTGCTCTGCTCCCTGCACCTAGCTCCCAGCCCAAGTATTATAATGGTATCCATGAAATATTAAGACACCTAGAGGAAGGCCTCCAGTACGTTGCATAGATCTTCTATGGAGAATTTACAAATCTACAAGGGCAAGAATCTTACAGGACTAGAAGCAAGAATGAGTGGCAATCTGCATCAGTGAAGGGAAATGCCCACATCAATGATATTGATTCATTGAAGAATAGTAGTAAAACTAGTATTTACATAACAAGTAGTAAACATATGGACCTCATTGCCTTTGGAGGGTATTCAGATCCAAAAACCAAGATTTTATTAAAAATTATTTAATAATTGCATGATGGGATATTAAAAAGAAGTTAGGGATATTTAAGCACCTACTAAGATCTGAGGATGTTATGGCAGAAAACCACACACACACACACACACACACACACACACAACACACACACACGCCATCAGTTCCTCCATCAGAAACAAGACCTTGCACCAGAGGGTCCACTATTTTCACTCATGGTGACTACACACTAATTTAGTACCTTTAGGGATATCATGTTCCAGGGAATCCATAAAGTCCAAGGAAGGGTCCAAATCAGCTTTCTCCAGCAGACTCTTGTTCTTCAATTCCACAGGCTCCACAAAATGAAAGTAGGAACTGAGTTTCTTGGAATCTGCCAGAGTCAATCCTGAGAGGAGGCAAATGGGGGATTATCAGTCAGGTTAAAAGCCCCTGACTCCCCCTTTCTTCCAAGCAGTACTAGGATTTACAGGAATATGAGGCAGGATTGTGGAAAGGCATCAGCCAAGCCCCAGGAGGAAGGAGTGAGTCAAGTCTCTCGTCCCCATAACCATCTCCATTCCCTAGTGTTCTGACATAAGGAGTGACCAGAGCATTCTGAGGATAGGGAATGGGGCTATAACTAAGTCTTCCATGCCTATCTTGTACCGAAGAGAAGGACTGAAGAAAGACAAAGTTGGAGTCAAGGCCATGGACACTAGGTCAGGTGAGGAAAAGACTCAGGAGCCAGGACAACAGTATGCTGCAAACTGTCCTAGCAACAAAAGGTTGTGGGTCAGCTAGTTAGTTGTACAAAACTTCATAAAGCCCTACCACTAGGCAATGTCCAGGGGATCAGTCACTGATCTTTACCTAGGGAAATGGGCAAGGAATTACAGGTTATTCCCAGGAATATACCATAGTGTGCCCTTGAGACTTCACATACATCTCCTCCTTGTGCCTTCCCTCCAAGTAAAAGAAGTGGAGGTCTCTTTGGAAGAGGACGGGGGGTACTTACCTTCAAAGGTCCTATTGACATGGACAGGTCCAAAGGGGGTCTTGAAGAGGGCTCCACGTGGGATGATTGCCACTGCCTTGTCAATTTGGTCAATGACTGACACCAGGCGAGATTCCTCCTTGATCTGGATCTAAAGAAATGCATTAAGAGTACTAGGCTGTGTCCCTGGGCTCCCTGCTTCTGCCTCCCCCTAGTCCTAGAATAGGATGTCAGCTGATCAGAGATAGAGAGATTAGAAACCAGATACACACAGTCTGAGGGCACAAAGCCATCCTTCATGGGATGAGGACCTAGGGAACAAAATCAGACTCTGTGGGCCCCCTTCTCACCTCTCATAATATTAGTATATAGATGAAAGCTTATTAAAATGAACATCAAGCCTTGATCAGCATACCCAAGAGTGTGAATATTAAGAACAGCAACAGAAGCATGATAGGGAAAAGGCAGCAGGCCAAGGGCAGACAATATTAGGCAGTCTGCCTGGTTGGTGTGGAAGAAAGGAGGCCACGATATTGTTGTCAGGCAGCCCCGCCTGTCCTGCTGATGCTGTCTGCGTGATGATGGTCAAAGGGCATGTCTGTGTAGATTCAATCTTCAGGCTTCCAAACTGTCTGTTTTTACATCTGCTAGCACCGAGTCTTCAAATGTATTCAATATCACCCTCCTTTGACCCCTACAACCCTCACTTCAGAGTGCTGGCTGTCTCCTCCCTGTAGTAGGTCCCAATTCAATTCAACAAATACTTATGAATTGCTATTATGGGCTAGGTTGGGGGTGGGGATAAAAAGGCAAAAAACAAACAATGCCTCTCCTCGAGGCCCTTAAATTCTAATGGAGAGATAGGACACCAGCTCATTACAAAGTAGGGAGCAGAGGAGAGACTTTGACGGGAAGGTGGCAAGGTGGAGGAGGCACCTGAGCTGAGCCTTAAAGGAGATGAGAGGTCAAAGACATGGAGGTGAAGAGAGGAGGCATTCTTGGCCTGGCGACAGCCTGTGGAAATGCAAAGAAGTAGGAGATGGTATATCAAATAAAGGGACCAACTAGGTGAGTTTGACCAAAGCATGGGGCCAAGGACAACTGTTCCCATTTATCATACCCTAAGGACCTCTGCATCTCACCTGTTCTAAGAACTAACCATTCCCAGTTACATCCCTCCACACCTCCCAAGCCCAGTTCACAACCACCTTTACCTTCTCTCTTCTCAAGCTTCTCAAACCATCTCAGCTGAGGACTTCACCTCATACTTTACAAAGAAAATAAAGACCATGCCCGGTGAGCTCCTCCACCATTAAGAATCCTTAGCTTCCTTCAAGGTCAAGCTGGAGTACAACCTCCTATTTCGTTTGTCTATATCCATATATGTATATGTTTGCTTCTAGTAGGCTGCGCTAGAAAGTTCCTCATACACACAGAGTGTGGTGGTATGGTTGTCCTTCATTCTCGAAGAGGACCAAAACAACATCGCTATATCAGGGTCAAGGTACAGTATGGCCGACTGTGGCAGATCAGACCAATACGAGTTCTGAAACGGGGGAAAGAAAATAACAGAGGCTGTGTGGAGCAGCACTGCCGTGATGTTCCCACATCCAGATGTCTTGACGGAATCTAATGATCCCAGGTAAGAGTTTTCAGCAAATTCTGGGCTGCCCTGTGGGTTGGGAAATCTCCAAGCTGGTTAATGAGATCATACTGAAAGGAGACTAGAGGAATGATTGATAATCCCCAAATTCTCTGAGGGAGAGTTTCCCACAGAAATTAGAAGACTGCATCCACTTGTAAACCAAGACAGAAGGTGATTAGGCTATTTGTTTATTATTTACATTCCTTCCCTCCAAATTAAATGCTTTTGCTACTGGATCAGTGACTTTTACATGGTATGGAAAGCTAGGGCCAGGATTTTTCATAAATGATTATCTCCAAACCATCATATTTAACCAAGAGAAAGCAGCAGAGTTTTCAGAGACTTCAGGGGCCTAGTTGTTAAAATAGCTTAAGTATGTTAGCTGAGTGGAAAAACTATGGAAAACATAGCAGAAGTCGCAGCGTGGATGCTAACCTGCTCTGTGTGTGTGTCTGTGTCTGTGTGTGTGGCTTTCTGCCATAACATCCTCAGATCTTAGTAGGTGTGAAATAGACACACACACACACACACACACACACACACACACACACACACACCATCTGGCCTTTCCTTTATTTCCCACTTACCACCACCTCGTCTTCATACGTCCTGTCTCCTTCAGTCATCCGCTGCATCTCAATGTGCTCATACTCATGCGAAGGGTCCCCCATGAATCGGCCCTTCACCACGGCCGTCTGGGCGGCCATCTCTTCTGTGGCCGGCGGCAGGAGGCTCCATTCCATGCAGTTCAAACTGGCAATGACACCCACACTCAGGAACTTGGGTTCCAAGTACAACCCAAAGACAACACTTTACAAAGTGTTTTTCTCACAACGGTTTTAAGCGCACATGTTATCCCCATCGTTATGAAGCTGACGTTCAGACAAGGGAAGGGAACTACTGAGATAACACAATAAGTGGCAAAACCAGGACTTTTATGTATTTCTAACTTCAAGCCCAGGGCTTATCCCTTTACACCTCATGGGATTTGAGACACCCTCCTTCAAGATCTTCAGAAACTCCCCTCAAACCTTTCCCTTCTTCATCTCCCCTTCTCTCACCTCCTGACTTGAAAAAAAAAATGAAAAAAAACCCTTCCCTCAGCCTGTAAATCAATAAACATTTATTAAGCATCTACTGTGTGCCAAGTACTGTGTTAAGTACTAGGGATACAAAGACAGGCAAAAGACCATTCCTGTCCTCAAGAAGCTCTGGTCTAACAGGAGAGGTAATATGCAGGTATAAACAAGCTGTAGACAGATTTGGAGCTAGTCAGCAGAGAGAACATACTAGAATGAAAGGGGTGTGAAGACCCAGGAGAATAATGTACATAGTAATGGCAATATGGTCAAGATAATCAGCTGTGAAAGACTTGGTGACTCTGATCAATATAATTGTTGTTGAGTCTGACTCATCGAGACGCCATTTGGGGTTTTCTTGATAAAAATAATGGAGTGGTTTGCCATTTCCTTCTCCAGCTCACTTTACAGATGAGGAAACTGAAGCAAACAAAGAGGGCTAAATGACTTGCCCAGGGTCACGTAAGCTAATAAGTGTCTGAGGCTGGATTTGAACTCAGGAAGATGAGTCTTCCTGACTCCCGGCCTGGAGCTCTATCCACTATACCACCTAGCTGCCTTGATGATCAATACAATGATCTTCCATGATTCTGAAGGATTCAAGGTATAAAATGCTATTGACCTCTGGATAGAGAACTGATATACCCAGGACTGAAGCATTTTTAAAATTTATTTTTCTTGCTTCCCCCCACCCTGAATATGGCTAATGCAAAAATGTGTTTTGTGTGACTACACATATATGTGTGTATATGTGAAATATGATACCATATATATGTTGGTATCCTATTTCTTGCCTTCTAATGGGTGGAGAGAGGAAGAGAACATGAAACTGAAAATAAAAATAAAATAAAATATAAACATAAAGAAGGAAGGAAGGAAGGAAAAAGCTAGGGAGGCCAGAAGTTGGATGTGGGGAAAGAGAGAGGGAGAAAGAGTTCCAGACATAACTCCCTTGAAAATGCCTGGAGTCCAGGGATGGAGAGTCTTGTGGAGGAACAGTAATGAAATTAGATCCAAGAGTTCACAGGGAGTGTAAAATATAAAAAGACTGGAAAGGTGGAGAGGGGCCAGGTTATAAAGGGCTTTGAATACCAAACAGATAATTTTATATTTAATCCTGGAGGTGACCAGGTACTGGAATTTACTGAGTAGTGACATGGTTAGATCCTCACTTTAAGAAGCTCCCCACTAGCTCTGAAACCACCTTTTGGCTACACACTTCTCCTACATGTCTATTAGTTTCTTCCATGGGCCATCTATGCCCCAAATTCCTAAATCCTGCTCTCCTGTATAGTGGAGAGCTTCCCTATCACTGGAATTGTTCGAGGGGCATCCAATCATTCTTCAGGAATGTTACAAAGGAGAGTCTTGTGTGGGTGGGATGCTGGACTAGGTGGTTTCTAAGATCCCTTCCAATTCTAAAATTCTATGGTTCTACAACCTACCCCCCCATCCCAACCCCAAACTATCTCCTTTTGCCAGATTCCACCCATATATCACCTGCAAAGCTGTCTCCTGCAATTCCCTAGGTTTTAACGATGTGCCCTATTCCAACTATAGTGTACTTATCTCTTCCCCACGGTCCTCCCTGCCCCTCTCCCTAAGCTCTGACCCGACACTTTGCCCCCTCTCTCTCCAGGTCTGCATCCCCTTCTCTCTAGCCCCCACACTCTCTTAAGCATCCCTCCTTCCCAGACCACCTTATTCTTTCCTCTTTTAGATTTCACCTCCTAAAATGCCACTCCCCCTCTCCATTCACTCCCTGCCCTACCCTTTTTCTGACCAAATCCACTCAAGAAGTTTTCCTTTACTTTCCAAAGTCCCAAGCCCTTCCATGCCACACTCCCAGGGAGCCTCTCTTTCCAAGTCTTTCCTAGGCCCCACCCCTGCCAATCTCACTGCAGTTATGGCTCAGAAGCAACTGGTGGCAGTCTGTTGAAAGCTGAACCTACAGTCAAGAAGACCTGAGTTCAGATCAGCCCTCAGACACTAGCTGTGTGACTAAATGTGTTAAGTCACTTAGATTGTTTGCCTCAGTTTCCCATCTGTAAAATGGGGATAATAATAGTGCCTATCTTGCAGCATTGTTGTGAGGATCAGAGGAGATGATATATGTAAAAAAGGCTTAGGACAGTGCCTGGCATATAGTAGGCACTTAATAATTGCTTTTCATCGGCCTCAGACTCTTGACATTTACTAGCTGTGTGACCCTGGGCAAGTCACTTAACCCCACACCCTCACCAAAAAACCTAAAACAAAAACAAAATAAATAAATAAATAAATGCTTCCTACGCCCTCCTTTGGCCCCGCCCCCTACCCTTCCCTGGCCCCGCCTTCTATGTGCAATTTCATTCCTCTCCTTGACCCGCCCCCAGGCACCCCTCCAGGATCCACCCCCTCTCTGCTTGCCTCTCTTTGGTCCCGCCCCCTGGGGAAACCCCAACTCCTTGGTCTTGCCTTCATCTTTCCCCCACTTCCCAAAGCCACACTCCAAAGAAAACTTCCTTTCTGGCCCCATCTCTATCCTCTCCTGGCCTTTGCCCCACCCCTCTCCAGGCTCCGCCTCCTCCCAGCCTCATTTCAGTCCTTCCCTTGGCCCCGCCCCTAGGGAATCCTTCCTCCCTGGCCCCGCCCCCTACCTGTACAGGCTTTTGCGCTCCCCGAGCTGGTCCTCGCCCAAACCCTGCGCGATGTAGTAGTCAGCGACCAGGCCGAGGATCCGGCCCCAGAACAGCACCCGCTCGTAGCGGTAGTCGCGCTTAACTAGAAGCAGGGAGGTGAGCAGTGAGGCCCGACGGTCGGGGCTTAAACCTTGCCCGCTGCCCGATGCCAGCTCCAAGGAGAGCAGCAGGCTTTCGGAATCCATCGCTGCGACTAACAACCCGCCAGTTAACAGGGGGAAGCTGTCACCATGGAGACCTCGAAGCTCCGCCTCGCGGCACAGGAAGTCCAGGTTTCCCCTGCAATTGGATGCACGCTACCCTCTGTTGCCCCTAGAAACGCGTGGGGCGGGGCGGCGGCAGTTGTCATGGAGACAGTGCTATAGTTCCGGATTCTCCCCCTCTCCCCGACCTTAGATGTTGCGTAGGCATGCCATGGTGAAAGGTTGGGCATGTCTTAATTTGAACAAAGTTCCCTAAAACCTTCTACATGGCTCCCCATCTAGTCACAGGATGAGCAGCATGAAGGTTGTCCGTGGGAATTAAAAAGAAAAAAGAAAATATAAAAGCCCCAGCTATGCCAGAAATTAGCCGTGTGGCCTTGAAGGAGTCATTCAAACCTCTCTGAGCCTGTTTATTTATATGATGAGGGAGGTGGACTACACGACTTCTGAGGTCCCTTCCAGGTCTATCATTCTGAGGCTGTAATTGAATACTCCAAGCCAGGCTGGCCTTTCTAAAGGGCCTCCTTTAGAGGCCTGTTCCTAACCTAACCCTTTTTATGAAACAGCAACCTCACATTGCTACACGGTATGTTATACTTTGACCCTTCGATGGCCAAGATACCCTTTCACCATTTTTTGCCTAAGGCTCTTCATTACTTCATTTGCCATTCCTAGGAGATTGAGGCTTATTTTAAAATGATCAGGATCCCACATTTCACTTATTTCTGACCTAGAGTGTCTCAACATTTTTATAAGGGAGTGGAATTAAGAACAGGGAGCTATTCAGAAAAGCATGACCACAATGGTCACTGGCCTGGTGACCATGCTGTACAGGTTTAAATTGAAGGAACTGGGGATGTTTAGCTTAGAGAAAACAGAAGAGAAGAATAGTAGCTGCCTTCCTTTGGAGGGCTGTCACAGGGAAGGATTAGATTTGTTTTACATGGCTCCAGAGGGTCAACAGGAGGAAGGCTATCCGATTCATATTTTGACTTGATATGATATTCAAAAGTGAAAGGAAATGCCTCTGGAGGTGGTGAATGTCCTTTCCACTATCACTGTAGGTGATCTATAATAGCCTGGACAACGACCATGTCTCAAGATTCCTTTTCCATGACTTGGACAAGAATATGCTACTTCCTCCTCACAAAGAGGTAGCAGATGGACCCAGGGTGCAGATTGAGACATATATATTTTTGGACATGGCCAATGCTGGATTTTGTTTTATTTGACTATGCATATTTGTTACAGGAGTTTTGTTTTCCTTTTTCTTTTCAATGGGGGGGGGAAGGTGGTAAGCAGAGAAAGTGGTTATTTGTTCACTGAAAAAAAATTAAATTTAGAAATAAATAAAACTAATGACTTGGACAAGATAACTTCTGAGGTCCCTTCCACTTTCTAGACTACCAAGGAAGGACAAACAACTGTTAAAGGACTGAGCAGGGTTCCATTTGCATTCTAGGAGAACCCTAGGCCCATGCTGCTCTCTATTTTTATTATCAATCATCATTTTTAAAAGGCTTTTTGATCCTAGTTTCTTCTGATGGAAAGGTTTATGAAATCATCTTAGCTCTTTGCCAAGCCAAACAGAGCAGGTAACTTGCCTTTGACATTGTGTGTCTTTCTGTAGCAATATAATTTTAACTCCAGATGTCTGTTCTATTACCATGTGAGAAAAGCCCTTTTATTCTGGCTCTATCTACTTTACATCAGGAAATATAGTCTCTATTAATCAATAAAGGCACATCCCTAAAAGAGAGATGACTGAAAGCTTGGATTTACAGGGCACCACTCCTGACCCCATAGCAAGGAAAATAATCCATGAAGTCCCTACCTCTGGTAGGAGAATAAGCCCTGCTCAGCCACCCCATGGAAAAGTTACTCCACTGTTATTAAAAAGACTGGGAGTTTAGGTGCACCCATTGCCAATGTGGGTCAAGATTCCCTGCTCCTCATGGATAAGATATGAGAGCATTGTTGAGGATTCTAGGATTCAGCCAAGGTTATGAGAGCTGCTGCATTTCCATGCCTGTACAGCAGGTGGAAACAAGAAACCAACTACACTGTTGCCCTGATAAAGGACAAGTCAGGATCAAGAAGACTAGTCAGTATGCAAATAAAGTGTGAAGAATGAAGATTTCTAAGCACAATACTGCCCCTGGGGTAGGCCATCTGTGCCAAGGTCATGTGTCACTAAGCATCCCCTTCATGATGGGGCCAACCAAAACTGGACAAAGGATTCTACAGCACATTTCACCTCAGGGAGCTGATCCCACATGGCCCAGAATCTCAGTCAGACCTTCATTCAGACCCTCCCTCTTGTGTCTTCCCTTCATTCCCATTAGTTTACAATAACATTCCCCAGACTACTGCTTACGAGACCTGACGGGTATCCGTGTGAGTTCAACATGAACGAGCTCAGTCCTGGGGTTAATTAAACTCCCTCTTCTTTACCTGAGTCTTAGCTGTCTCATAGCCCATGTTTTGTGACAGTCCTCTGGCATAAGGGAGTCCCCTCCTGGGAGGGTGCAGGATTCCCCTATTGACCCTTACTTTCTACTACTGGGCTATCAGTACCCTACTCCATCAGTGCAGGTGCAGCTTTGTCAATAAGTTAAATCCTTGTCCAGGTGCCTAGTTTATGTCTAAGAAAAAGTCCATGGGCCAACCAGAGATATCCAGGAAAACAACCCTTTAATGAGTCTGGGTGCTGAGAGTAACATGTAAAACAGTGGGAGTCAGTTCAATGCAAAGCTTTATTACAAGTAATGGAGAAGGGGAAGGAGAGAGGGGAAAAGGAAACCCAACATACAACTCAGACATACACACTATAATGTAGAATATTACTCACATAAGGACAGCGCAGTGTTGGGGAGTACAGAGACACAGGCCCATTCAGCAGAAAGGGATCCCTCCAGCAGGAAGAGGTGCTCCTAGAGGTGAGGGTATGCTCCAAAGTGCTCTTCTGAGAGTGAGGTTCTTATACTATGATTTTCGATGAACTCCTTGAAGCTGGCCAAACTGCATATCAGGGGTTGGGGCAAAATATTATTTTGGAGCTTATCAAGGAGTAAAAATAAGGTGGTAGACAAAATATTATTCTGGGCATTTGTTATCAGAGAAAAAAACAAGATGGTGGTGGACAAAATATTATTTGGGGAACATGGCTATACCAACCCTCGGAAAATATTTTTTGGTCCGTATTTTTCCATGAGTGAGTTCTATAAGCTTATAACCCTGCTTAAGGGGAAACTGTCATGGTGGTCTCAAAACCACCAGCCTAATCTTATAACACCCCATTAGCTTAAAAGCTGCATTTGGCCTACCAGCAAAGGCCAGGGTAATAGCTATGTTTCCTACTACTGTTCTGCCTGTGGTAAATGTGACTCTTGCTTAGCTGGTCCAAGATTAAAGAGTCACCAAGGACCAAGAGAGGCAACTTGGTAAGTTATGCAGAGCTAGTTCGGTGGGAGACCTGATTCTAGTCCCAGGTCTGCCACTAACTAGTAACCAGTTCAGAGATCTAGAACAAGTACAGCTGCCAATACAGACTGGCTGACTCTCATCCCTACCTTTTTCTCCCTCTCCTTCCCTCTCTCCATTCTTTCCCTTCGATTCATCTCCCATTTGGGAGGAGAATAAAGCAGAGTGGTATGGTAAAATGAGTACTTGATTTTGAATTGACAGACCAGAGTTCGAGTCCCAGGTCTGCCACTTACTAAGGCCAGTTTTCTCATTTACAAGACAAACAGCCTATTTGATTTTCTAAGATCCCTGCCAGTTCTAAATCTATGCTGCAGCATTTCAGCGGACTTCCCGGACCTTGAGAAGGAATTTTACTGTGAGCCTTCCCAACCCTATGGTGACTTCAAAGAAATGAAAAGTAGCTTCTCCAACCCCACCCCTACCTCCCCCCAAAAAGTGAAAGACCTATGGAACTAGATGAACTCTAGATCATCTTCCTTTTCTAGAATATTGGGTTCTAATTCTAAGAGGCAATTCAATAAGCATTTTTATTAAGTACACACTTACATAATGTGTGCAAGGCTCTGCTGCGGAGCTGGGGTTTGGGTAGGAGGCAATGACGAAAATGAAAAAAGTCACAAAATCACAGAACTTTAGAGTTGGAAAGGACCGTGGAGGCAATCTAGTACAAGTTACAACTCATACCCAAAAGAGAATCCCTAGCTCAGCCTGCCTCTTTTGGAAGACCTATAAGGAGGAACCCACTACTTTCTGAGGCCCACTGTTTCAAGGTTGGATAGCTCTAATTTTTAAGACAAGCTGACTGTATCATAGAAGAGAAGACAGCCCAGCAGAGGGCAGCAGCAAGCTGCAGAGTCAAACACAAGGAAAGGTTCCCACTAGCACAGTTGTAAGAGCATTAATTGGCCCAGCTCTATACATTTCTTTTGTATGTCCCCTCTGAGTAACAGCATGTAACTTTTGGAGAGTATGCCCCTATGTGCATAGGGGCCTTTTCCTTCTTATTTACCTTATTTACCATTTAATTGTCTTTTGTTTTGAACTATGTCCTCGTGCTGGTCTGGTAAAAGAGAAACATTGCCTTGTAGTGGGGATCACTTTTAGGGTGCTGACATATAAGAAGGGCCCAGGCCATTTAAGAACTTTGGGGAACTTATTTTTGTAAGCACTTTGCAAACCTTTGTTATTAAGTTGGTTATTAAATTATTAATCTGCCATCAACACATCTGAATTAATTACATGATGGGCTGAATTTCTCAAGATGCTAATTAAATACAAAACTTTAACGTGTCATGAGTCTTTATGTTTAAAAATACTCCTAGGGGCCAGAATTAAGCAAAACAGCTCAGATATGGATCATGGCCAACCAATTATTAGTCAAGAAATCATACCCAAGTAACCAGTCAGCTCTTGTGACTCAACGTTGATGAGAAAAAATAAAAACACTTAGACCTAATTAAAGTGGTGGCTGTAACCTGCAAAACCCTCCTTCAAAAACATATCCAGAATGAATTTTATGAGGGTAGGGATTCTATATTAATACCACTACTAACAGCAGCTTACATTTATAGTGTGTTTTAGGTTATAATGCACTGAGGTGTGGCACAGGGCAATGGAAG